ACATCTTTCTTTGTCTACTATCTGAGTTACTCGCTCGTTGCCGAGATTTTTTACAAATCGTTAGTAGACGACAGCCAATTCAATGACAAGAGTTGCGTAAACAAACCCATTTGTAATCTGTAAAGCCAATTTACTGCAGGAGAAAAAAAAATAAACATGTTATTTGCCGGCTTAGGGTCGGTCCGTATAGTAAAAAACTGTGACCTCGGGTAGCATTTTCAAGACCTAGCCGGCAAATAACATATATATTTTGAATATTCAGTAGAAATAACTGAATTCTTTCGACATGGTGCGCTTAGAAAGTTTTACCTGAGACCACCGCGCGTTTCCATCCGTTCAACTCGATTTTTATGTTAACTCTTCCAGGAAATCTCTTCGCTAAGAGGACAATCGAAGATATCCGGCCATGACGTTATACATGCAGCTGCCTGTCAGTGCACGGTTATCGTAAAGAAACATTTGCTTCCGTAAGAGTCCTTGTGAAACATTATTTTATTGTTTTGAAACCGTGTACGTAATGGTTGCAGAAGGTTAACTTATCATAGATTTATTCATCCAGCGACGATTCATGAATTGCAAATTACTGAACAAGCAGTCAAGCAGAGCCTACCTACTTAAAGCGAGGGAGCGGAAGTTGATCGAAGAAACATTATTCTGAGAAATTTTCGCTGTTTATTAGTTTGCTACAGGAAGTTGAAAGGACTTTTGCTTGTAACTGGGGAGATCAAAATAAGCAACACCGAATGCTTCGAACAAACAAGGTATGATTTTCGTTGTAAGAATTGTTTAGGTCGTTTATTTATGACTGCATGCTTAATAATGTTAACTTGTGACGTGCCACGCTGGTAGTAAATTCTGCAGGCATATTTACCGCTACTTGTTGTGATTTTAATTGTCAAGGCAGGCAACAGTGCCATAGTGATCTCTGGAAAGACAAAACTGAAGTTCAGGTTTAAATTAGCAAAACTTAGTTCCATCTTTATCACGTGCGGATTACTCATGGGTAGACAAAACCACTGGCTTGCCGATGTCAGAAATGTTTTTCCTTCGTAAGGGGCACGTTTACAGAAAAACTGGATTGGTCGGTTACAAACTGATCCGGAAAAATACAAGGTTAAACTGACGGCGAAGACATGACACGTTCGCGACAGTGGCATGGTTTAATGATCATAAGCCGTGCTCTTTATGTGCATTAATCAACAACAGTAATTCCAACTGGATAAGGTTTTACTAGAGTTACATGTCTCCGGAAAACGCGGCTATTTATCTACGTTACTACACTCTTCCCTTTTAATAAGGATATAATTTATAAGAATATCGAGGCTGAGAGGTCGAGGCTGAGATTTTGAAAAGAATATAATTTGATGTGTGTTGAAAATATGTAAATACAATACAATCAAACTGCATGAAATTCTTCCTCTCTCCAAACAGCAAAACTAGCCAAAGAGGAACAAAAACAGCACCAGCCAAATGTCATACTTATGTCATACTGACTTCATATTTAGCTGACATAGACTGATGAACTGAAAGTGAATCAACCTACAGATTACACGTTACTGTAAATATACCTTTTGTAGACAGTATCCTTAGAATTAATATGATGTCATGCCGTTTTGAAGAAACTGACTTGATATCCCGGTCGTATTGACCTCCTTCCCAGACCTTGTTTACAACGGAACCTGGCCTGGTCACTCGCTAGTTTTTGTGTAAACCAGTATAACCAATTCCCCCCTAAGTCGTTCTAAAGGTAGAGAAACACCCGAGTTTCAAGGAGTACCTGGGTTCAAATCCTGTTGCAGTTCTGTTTTAATTTGAAGTTGTCTTTTGTTAGGCCAAAAACGCAGTTGCTTAAAATTGCTAACATAGCGGGAATATCGTTTTATACATTGCTTCCATCTGTCAACTATTCTCTTTCTATTCTCTAGCTTCTCTTTTTTCAGAAAAGAAGTTCTAAAAAAATGAAATGAATTTATTTGCATGCAAATAAAAGTTTTTATGTCACCTCCTCGTTTATACATTCAATTTGTATCGGGTATTGACAGGACATGTGTAGGTCATTCAAGGGTAAAGGTGTAGATTACTGCGTTCGTATTACCGTCATTTGCTAGCTTAGACAATACCTTGGAGTTGCGCAAGAATCACGAGACAGT